TGAGGGAGGAGTCACAGAGGAGCCCTGAACTCCCTAGGTCATTGGAGTGTTGTGGAAACTTTCAAATTTGGAGTCATAACACATAGGTTTAAGTTATGGTGCTGATACTCATTACTCCTTTCTGGACCTCACTTTCTACATCTGTAAAGTGGAGAAAAAAATATTTTCACCAGCTATCTTACAGGTTTGTCATGAGGAAAAATACTTTGTTGCTATAGAAATGTGTTATTATTACACCATAGAAATATAAGGTGTTTTAGATTTAGATCTGGCAGGAATCATACTTAATACTTATAAATTACAATCACCTGCTTTTAACTGAGCCCCAGAGAAGTTCATTAATTTGTCCAACATTACACAGTTAAGAAATGGCAGAGCCATCACTTGAACTCAGGTTCTCCTGATTTTAACCTTCATGACATTCCACTCTAGCACCTAGAATTGGGTGACAACCATGGACCGTTCTCAGGGAAGTAAATTGAAGCATACTCTATGTGTATGAATAGACCACCTCACCTGGTGGCTGGTGTTCAGTGAGGGTACAGTGAGCCCTCCTGAACTGATACTGTCTGAGAACCTCAACAGGGTTGAGTTCTCTCTTCAGCTTCTATTCCTCTGCTCCAATTGAGATTCAATTTCTAGATTCCTGAACTTTTTACCACACCCCATACTTGAACCAATAGAACAGACTCAATCCTTTATGATTAACGTGTGGCCTCTCCCAGTGTAGAATCTGGGCCAAACAGACCAGAAAATGATGTCACAGCCAAGGGACAAAGAGCAGAACGAAGAAAAAGGAAACAGCATTAGCATCAATCCCACACTAGATTCTAAACTAGATTTGACACCTGCTATCTTCATAAATTCCTTATAATTTCCCAAACTAGTATTGGCGCCAACAAGAGAGGTGGGAGAGTGAGAAATATTCAACCAGTTTAAGATAATAGTGTTGAAAGAACACACTGCATTTAAAAACACCCTCACTTTGCTCCAGATAAGGAAATCTTATGTTGTTGTTCAGTCATGACTCTTCATGACTCTATTTGAGGTTTTCTTCGCAAAGACACTGGAGTGATTTGCCATTAACTTCTCCAGCTCATTTTAAGTTGAGGAAGTGAGGCAAAGAGTGAATTGACTTGTCTAGGTTCACAGGGCTAGTAAGTGTCTGAGGCCAGATCTGAACTCTGGAAGATGAGTGTTCGTGATTCCCAGCCCACACCTCTATAACAAACAGAAAACTATAATAATTGAAGTCTTACTGGACATCTAGTAGATGCATGCCCAAACATCATGCACGATATCTGCCAAACCAAACATAGAAAAATAGTGGCAAGGGTCACATTAAACAAGAAAAGATACATAGATGTGAAAAGTGTCACAAATGCATTTTCCATCTATTTTACTACATGATTAAGAAACATGGGATATGCATATTTAGCTAAATAAAATAAGAAAGAAGGATTTAGTGAAAAAGCACTGAACTGGAGTCAGGATACCTGGATCCTGAAATTAGTAAATTATGTGGCCTGCCGGCAGGTCCCATCACTTTTCTGGACCTCACTTTTTTCTCATCTATAAAATGAAAAGATTGGACCGGATGACTAGTAAAAATCTCTTTCAGCTCAAAATTCTGTCATTCTAAGACCAGCAAAAGATAAATCTAGTAGACACAGCAAAAATGGTCATGTAGAATATTGGAAGCCTGCTCACCATGTAATCTTTTCCTTTCCAGATCCCCGCACAAGTGGTGACTTCCCCCGAAAGTTACTCTGCACTTACTTTGTATATACTTACAGGATCAGAAATCTAGAACTGGAAGAGACCTCAGTTGGATCATCTACTCCAATCCCTTCATTTTATGAATAAGGAAACTGAGGTCCAGAGAGGTTGTGACTTGACCAAGTTCACACAGAGAAGTGGCAGTATTACAATGTGAACCCAGATCCTCTTTTTGCTCTACTCATTGCACTACATTGGCATCGTATATTTATGAAAGTTCATATTGTCTTGTACTTATAAAATATACACTAAACCTAAGAATGGGCAGGTTGTCTGCTCAATAGAATAGAAGTCCCTTGAGCAGACGGATTATTTCCATTTTGATTTTGTACCACTAACGCCTAGCACAGTGCTTAGATATAGGAGACTGGACCACCAATTGTTCAGTGTGTTATAGTGGGAGTTCTGGTAGTGTGGATTAGACTGCATGGGGGTATCGAATTCCCTTTCAACTCAAATTTTGTGATTCTATAAAGTACTTAATTAATATTTCATTGACGATCAACTGATTCCTAACCCAAAGTTTTCCATATCATCTATTGAATTTTTTCTAGGGTGACATATGATCATGGGACAATAAGAGTATTAGTTTCATACCATCATTATGTGCCAGCCCATGTTTTTCTAAGATTGCTGAGAGCAGAGGAAGTTTTCTAATATTAAATGACAATGAAATAGTCCAAGTTGAAATAGAGGAATGCTGTGGTCCCTTCTAAGATTTAGGGGAGAAGTAGAAAAGTGGGAAAAAAATTTGAGACCAATGTCTCTGATAAAGGCCTCATATCTAAAATATATGGAGAACTGAGTCAAATTTATAAGAATACAAGTCATTCTCCAATTGATAAATGGTCAAAGTATATGAACAGGCAACTTTCAGAGGAAGAAACTGAAGCTATTTATAGTTCTATGAAAAAATGTTCTAAATCACTATTGATGAGAAAAATACAAATCAAAGCAATTCTAAGGTACCACATCATCCCTATCATATTGACTAACGGGACAAAACAGAACAATGATAAATGTTGGAGAAGATGTGGGAAAATTGGAATGATAACACATTGTTAGTTGAGTTGTGAACTGATCCAGCCATTTTGGAGAGCAATTTGGAACTATGCCTAAAGGGCTACAAAATTGTGCATACCTTTGACCCAGTAATACGACTTCTAGGTCTGTATCTCAAAGAGATCATAAAAATGGGAAAAGGACCCATGTGTACAAAAATATTTGTAGTAACTCTTCTTGTGGTCTCAAAGAATTGGAAATTGAGGGGATGACCATCAGTTATAGAATGGCTGAACTAGTTGTGATATATGAGCATAATGGAATACTATTGTGCTCTAAGAAATGATGAGCAGGAAGACTTCAAAACATTCTGGAAAGACTTACATGAAATGAGCAGAATCAAGAGAACATTGTACATGGTAACAGCCACGTTGTGTGATGACTTACTTTGATAGACTTGGCTCTTCACAGCAATGCAAGGATCTAAGACAACTCCAAAAGTCTCATGATGGAAAATTGCTATCCATACCCAGAGAAAGAACTGTGGAGTCTGAATGCAGATGGAAGTGTAATATTTGCTCTCCTTTTCCTTTGCTGTTTTGTTCTATTGCTACATTACCATGATTCCTCCCATTAGTGGTGATTGTTCTTTACATCATGACTAATGGGAAAATATGCTTAAAATGAATGTATAAGTAAAGCCTATATCAGATTGCACACCTTTTGGGGTGTAGGGGAGAGTAGTGGAAGAGGGAGAAATTTTAAAACTCAAAATCTAATGGAAGTGAATGTTGAAAACTAAAAAAAAAAAAATTATCCAAAAAAAGTGCCAAAATCTCACTATTCTGGGTTTGTGGATAAAGGACTTGCCTCCAGGAAACAATTGGAAGAGTAATTGTTACCCTTTTTATCAGTATACAGAGAATTACAGACCACTGGGTGTATTCTTTCCTTGATATGTTAACAGATATTGTTCAGCATTAAACATGAGTATGTAATTATTAATAACAAGCTAGATTAATGCACATGTAATGATAAGCCTTTGAAAAATACTTGTACCCATGGAGGATGAGCACCTGGGCACATTACCTCTACATGATGTGGACTAGTTGACATTGATCTCTGGACACTTTTTCATTTAGAAGGCTACAAGAGGGATGGGCAGTGTAGAGTGGGCAGGCAGCCTGGAGCTTGGACTCTGCCTCAGAAGGAATTGGGTTTTCCAGCTGAAGAACTCTGTATACTCCAGCTGAAAATCCTCAGGCAGATGCAGAGTTGATTGGAATTAAATCCCTATGGTATCCTATTTACTACCTTCATTAAATCAATCACTGTAATGTGTATGTCAAATAGTTCCTTTCCCCAAATCCTGAAATGATCTGGCCTCCTTGACTTTATATTGTTACAAAGGCCATCTCCTCCATAGAATACATTCCTCACATTCTATCCAATGAATCTTCCTTATGCATAGATCAGGTCAATATTCAGCTCACATTTTGTTTACTGAGTAAAGTTCAAACTGTTCTTCTTGACATTCAAAGTCTCTTTTCCTTTACAGTCTTTTCTCATATAAAGTTCCTCTCAATACTCTATACTTGAGTGAAATTGGAGTACTCAAATGTGTTCTCTATTTTTTTGACACACATACATTTTAATTAGAGTAGGCAGGTGAAATACGTAGTAGTAATGGTAGTAATGGTGGTAGTAGAAGTAGTAGTAGTTGTTGTAATAACAATAATACTTGCAGCTAATATTTATATAGCAATTATGATGTGTCAGACACTGTGCTAAATGCTAAACAATTATAAATTCTTTTGATCCTCTCACAACAACACTGGGAGATAAATGCTATGATTATGCCCATTTTACAGATAAAGAAACTAAAGGAAATAGAGATGAAGCAGCTTGCCCAAGGTCATATACACAGTAAATGTCTAAGATGGATTTTAACTCAGTTCCTCCTAAATCCAAGTCCTACAGTCCATTCATGGTACCACCTCAATGCCATAAAACTGTGAGTGGTAAGGCTCCCATAAGAGTGGGATATATGTACGTGTTCAAGTATATAACCTGAGACATTTAAGGAGTAGAAAAGAGATTCTAACCCACTGGGAGTTCATAACTGCACACAAATATGGGATAAAGGCCGTACTATCAAGAAGCTTAAGATCAAGTAAGGAGCACAAAACAGGATCAACTAACATGTCTTAAAGAATGCACAACATAAGATGGGTATATAATTCAGGCTTAAATTGTGAAATACAGATTGTAAGTGCTAACAAGGTCACAGAGATACGGCATCTAAATTGTGATGTGAAGTGTGGAGAGGATCTCAATCAGTGAAGTTGAAGAGAGACAAGAATAAATATTCCAGGAACGTGGAATTTCTGGGAAAACAGGAATTGGGGAAAAGTAAGTCATGATTTTGGCAAAAGTCAAAGGGAGTATTAGAGTATGAGAGAAGGGAATAGTGGGCTGAAATGATAGAGGGCTTCCATTGTCAATGGATTAAATGGAATGGCAATGGAATAAATACAGCTTCTTCATACCACATGGGGAAACTCTAGAGCAATTGGAACCAAGGGTGGTCCTTCACATGTTTTAGGAAGGTAGAAAGCAGAGCTCATAGGAGGGGCAGTTTGCCAAGCGCACTGGCAATTGGGGTGGTGTCAATATCTTCTGGGTCAATGGGAGATTTCAAGGTAAAATTCTGTAAAATGGAAGTAAAAAACAGAAATAATTCCATTCGAGCCAGGCTCTCACCAGCACATATCCGCTTTCCTGAAAGAAATAAAAACAAGGATTAGATACTTGTAGACTTCTAACTCATTAAGACCACTTCTTTGGACTTATAGGTCACTCACTAACACTCAGTGGCATTAGATTAAACATTCTATGCATTCCTTTCCTCTCTGGTCCTTGACTCCTTTGAAAAACCTGTTCCCCCTCCACAGGTATTGAAGACCCCTCCTGTATGCTCTCTCTAAATCAATCCCCCTGAACCAGAGCAAGTCCTGGGATTTATATTCAGAGGAAAGGAATCATCACTTTGGTGAGAAAACAATCACTCATTTATAATCTCAAGAACTAAGTTTATGGCTACCCAGAGAGACTGCAAGGGGGAAAGGTGGCAGAACAATGCTCAAAGTTCCCTTTCGGAACCTCCTATCACCATTCTGGACAGAAACACCTCTGGAGTCTACCCTACAACTTCATGGCCATCCAGCCACTTGTCTTAACTACTCACTCCTAGCTCTAATCCAAGTATTAGAAGTAATTGAGTAGGAAATAGTGTTGAAGACCACAATGTCGGGGGTAGTTAGCTGTCTGACAATATTCATGTCTGCCAGAACTAGACTTGGCTATCACTAACATTACCTGATGACAATAGTTTCCCCAAGAATTGAAGGGAAAGACAAGAGATGATCATCTATAATTTTGTAAATACATCCCCATTAGAATGTACATAACTAGGAAAGGTGTTTTCATGTGTCCCAGTCAAGAGTCACATTTCTACAAAATTATAAACTCTAAGATTACACCTTGGGTGACCTTAACCATAATGGTACTTGAGTAATGAGCCTTAAAGATTACCAACACCTGTTCTTTCCTTGATAAAGTTCAAGATTATTCCATACTAACATAAAAGCCAGGAAGTCTTTATCGGACAAGTAGCTCCAGGTTGAGAGTGACTGGGAGGACAGTTTCCAATATGGGGGAGGGGTTTAAGTGACTTTAGTTGTGGGTCTGTGTGCAGAACAGAGTGGCCACTATCTCAGTTCTACCTCTTTTCTGGGAGAAGCTCAGACAACTACTCTGAAACCCAATTGATTTAGTTGATGAACCTTGGCCTAAGGAGAATTAGAAGAATGATGTACCATAAGGTGCAGCTAGGTGGCACAGTTGATAGAGTTCTGGCACAACCTGAGTTCAAATCTGACCTCAGACACTTGGCACTTAGTAGCTCTGTGACCCTGGGCAAGTCACTTAACCCCAATTACCTCACCAAAAAGAAAAAAAAAAAGTAATATATTATGTCTCCACCCTACTTTTTATTTAGAACTTGGTAGGACCATAAAGTCACCTAATCCAACTCAATCTTTTGTCATATAAGTAAACTGAAGTCTAGAGAAATGAATTAATTTGACCAAGGTCACACAGGTAATAAGTAGCAAAGCTGGATTGAAACACAGGTCCTGTAAGTTATCAATCCATCTTTGATGCACATATTTAGATGGATGTCTCACCTGCTGAAAAAGGCATGAAATAGTTGCTCTTCTTAAAGTTGCCACTTTCATCCAGGAAGTGACATGGGTCAAATTGGTCTGGATGGGGGAACTCTTCATCATCATACAGAACAGAAGATAATACTGGTAATATGGTGGTTCCCTGAAATGAGCAGATACAAACAAATAGTTAGAAAATAAGAACCATAGACTGTTAGGTTCTTACAGTGGAGAGGAAACAGGGGAAGGTGAGAGGAAATGAGGGAATCTTATTTTCATCGGATTTGGTTTAAGGAGGGAATAACATACACACTCAATTGGGTATGGAAATCTGTCTCACCCTAGAGGAAAATAGGGGAGGAGGGGACAAGAGAGCAGGATGATGATAGAGAGAAGGGCAGATTGGGAAAGGGGTAATCAGAAAGAAGTACTTCTGAGGAGGGACAGGGTCAAAAGAAAGAATAGAATAAACGGGGGAGCAGGATAGGATTAAGGGAAATAGAGTTAGCTTTTCACAACTTGTCTACTATGGTAGTGTTTTGCATAACTGCACATGTATGGCCTGTATTAACTTGCTTGCCCTTTCAATGAGGGTGAGTGGGGGTGGGAGGAAGGGAGTAAATTTGGAAACCAAAGTTTCAAAAACATGTGTTTAAAAAAAAGTTTCCACATGCGACTGGGAAATAAGAAAGACAGGAAATGAGGTAGAGAAATCTATCCTGCCCTGCAGGAAAATAGAAGGGAAAGGGGATAAGAGAAGGGGGGGAGAGAAAGAAGGGCGGGCCAACTAGGGGAAGGGGTATTCAGAATGCATGCCATCTTGGGGTGGGGGAGGGGCAAGATGGGGTGAAAATATGGAATTCAAAATCTTGTGGAAGTAAACGTTGAAAACTAAAAATAAATAAATTTATATAAAAAAACTTTAAAAAAAGGAAAAAAGAAAGAAAATAAGAACCATAGAATGTTATAACTGGAAGAGAATTCAGAACGATCATCTAGTCAAAACCACTCATTTTGAAGTATGGAAAGAGCCAACATTTTTTTAAACACCTGTGCTGTTACTAAATTAGCAACTCTGCAATACTATTGGGAGAGATGAAACTGAATTTTGACAACTGGAGTGGCAGAACCGGTACCAGTGATGAAAGGACACAAGGAGGCAGATCCCAGCTTAATAAAAGTTAATAAATTAACTTGTGACCATTAGATCCATCAAAGAAGGAAAGTACTGCCTTGGTAAATAATAAGCACACCAAGTTCGAGCAGATGCCAGATGATCTAAAGAGGTAGAAATGAATCCCGACTTGTGGCAGGATGTTGAAGAATAAAATAATGTCCCAACGAAGAATGAGGCAAGAGCTGATAAAGAAATTGGGAGCTCTTCTTGAAGATGAAGAAATTGGATGCTCTGGGTAAGAAGCCCTTGCTTGTACTCTAAAGAATGATAAAGTAGGTTCACGGGTATTATTTGGTGATATAGTCTGGAAGAAGACAATAGAACTAGTTGGTGATTCCCTATAGAAGGACACTGAAACAGCAGTTTGCTGAGAATGACAACAATAGGTCTGCAATATTGTCAGAGGATGTATCAAAGGCAAAATGGAGAAACCTCCAAGATTTGTGAAAGGGGATGACTACTAAGCACCTCTGTTGATTCACAGGGGCAAAAACAATACTTCTATAAGGAACCAGGAACCATTTCCAAAGTTTTTGACATTCAAGACAAAAAAAAAAACCTAAAAAAGTTAAGAGCGCAGGCAGTGTATTCATTATGGCTGGATTTGGAAGCAAAAGATTCAGAAAGGAAAGGCAGATTTCAGAAGTGGATATCTTGTAAGATCATGTTTCAGAATGGGATTTGTTTTTCTGGACCATACATTCATGAAAATATAGGCATGATAAACCAGGATTGGAATAATGCACCTAGCAAAGACTGGAAAAATTTTTATTTTGATTTGTTACAAATATAGTCGAAAGCTTTTTCAGTGCTTAAAGTGTGGCTAAAAAAAATGGTAGATTGGATATTTTAAGACAAGGAAACAAATTTGATCTCAAAGTTATAAGTAGGACATAGTATGATGAGATGTTTAACAAGACTGAAGTTCAGGAAAGAGTTTCTCTTGTTCAAAAGAAACAGGAGAGGAAAGAGGTTGGGGCGGTATATGTTGAGAAGATATACTCCTGTGAGGCTATTTAGGAAGCAGAGGAAAGAAGAATGATGAGAAGCCTCTAGGTAAAAAAGAAATGGAGGCAGAATCAAGAGTGACATTGTCTTGAGAGTATTCAACAGACCACATGGACAGAGAAGAAATAGATAAGGAATAGAGAAGACAGATTATAATCCCTAGTGGTTAAACATGACGCAGCAGTGATAGAAAACTTCCATTATTCATTCAGATCCTTGAATTTCCTTTCTGTCACAAACAGGGTAGTTCATAATTTCTTGACTTTTCTTAATGACAATTCCATCGTATAATTACAGTGGAACCAAAAAAGGGAAATTGTTTTATTGATTGAATTCTAACCAGCTGAGAGGAACTTGAATAACAGATGTGAATAAAGATTTGTAAAATCCCTGTGGCACAACATTCTTCCTCTGAAGGGATCATGCTGTGTTGTAGGGTATGCTATCACACTTGGCACACTTTCTGTGCACACCTATGGAGGGTAATGATGAGAATTTTTGGGAAAGGGACCACTCCATCTTAGAGTTTATATCAGAGTCAACTAAGTGGCCCAATGGATAAAGTGAAACAGGCCTGCTCCAACCCCAAATACTCACTAGTTGTTTGACCCTAGCCAAGTCACTTACCCTTTCTTAGACTCAATTCCCTCATGCATAAAATGAGAATAATAACAGTTCTCAATGTCAGGGTTGCTATGAGGATAAAAAGAGATAACATTTGTGAACCAATTCACAAACCTTAATGCTAGGTATTATTATTATCACCAAGAAAGACAAGAGTTGTTTTCTAAAAACACAAAAGAAAACAATTCTGAAAATGTAAGATAAAGGAACATTCTCTAAAGATGCCAATGTGGATAAGGTGGCCAGGTGGTGCTGTGCAGAGACTGCTAGACCTGAAGTGAGGAAAACCTTAGTACAAATTCGGACTCACACACTTACTATCTGCATGACCCTAGGAGAGCCAGGTGCTCTCTCTAAGATTCAGTTTCCTCACCTGTAAAATGGGCATGGTCCTAACATCTACTCCCACAGAACTGTTGTAAAGAGTAAATAAGATCATCTATGCAAACGAAATTTTAAAGAACTTTATAAAAATAGCTATTGCTATTAGAGGGAACTGACCAACCAACTTAGATTTTTCAAAGACAAGGATGAATAAAAGAAGCATGTCATGGGTTCCATAAGGATGACAGAAGTGGTAAAGCCCAGAATGAACAGAGGCTGATGAGGCTACCAAAGGGCAACAAGGAGAAGTTTTCTAAAAGTATATTGTGGAAAAGAGGAGGATTAAAGAAAGAATAAACCCACAACCCAGAGGGTAATAAGATGACGACGGCAAATGATAAAGAAGATACAGAACTTCTCTATTTTTCTTTTCCTTCGTTTTTTTTTTCTGACCATGGAAATGATCCTTGAACTGAAAAGGATAGAATAAATAAATAAATATGGCTAATAGGGATTGAATACCAAAGAGAAGTACAAAGAAAATGAGGGAGCAGCTAAATACCTGTGCAAGAAAAATAAAGCAAAGAGAGCACACTTCAATTTACACTCAGAGTCTAGAATATATTTATAGAGAGATCATTAATCTAGATAAGGAAGGAAGGAGGAAATGACTCTAGATAAGGAAGTAGTGGTCACAAATATCTGGAGTGGAATCATCATGATTCCTTTTATTTCTTTTTGAGGATGTTAAGAAACTGGTAGATCAGGAGAATGTTGTACATAGGGTTTCCTTAGATTTCAGCAAAGCATTTGATAAAGATTTCCATGTTCTTCTCTGAAAATCATAGAAATATACAGGTTAGACCTTTATACAATTAGATGGATATAAAACAGCTTGACTGACCATATACAAAAGTAATTATTGAAGGTTCAAAGGCAGCTTGGAAATAGGCAGTGCTGTACTCTTGTACCTTCAGCCCACAAATGAAAATTGTATTCCTTCTAGGAGTCATATTTTAGGAGGACATTGAAGAGCTGGAGGCTACTGAAGGGAGGGCAACCAGGATGGTAAGAATAACAAGTCCAAGCCATGTGAGGACAGGTTGAAGGATATGGGAATATTTAGACAAG